GCTGAGCTGAAATCGAGATGTAAATCGGCTAAAGCTTCTAATACTTGAACTCAAATTTTTATTGTGTTGAGCTATTAACAAAACGAGCTCGAGCCGGCTCATCTAACAATATTAATTTGTTAAGCTCAAGCCTTGTCAAATTAAAAAAATTACATGAGAATTATAAAAAATTACAGGACTCTAATTTTTGAGTCTTAATGAATTGAACTGAAATCGAGTCTTACCCTACTAAAGCTTCTGGTATTTGAACTCGAGCTTTTTACTGAGTTGAGTTATTAACAAAATGAGCCGATAAATTAGCTCGAGCTCGATTCATTTATCAAGATTAAGAAGTCAACTCAATCGTGACCGGAGTATGAAAAATTATATAAAATTTTTTATTTATGAGTCATAGCGAGTTGAGCTAAAATCAAGCATTAACTTCGCTAAAGATTATGATAGTTGAATGCAAGCTTTTATTGAGCTGAATTGTTAACAAAAAGAGTCTCGTTTATTAATATTAACGAGCTGAACTTAAGCCTTATCAAGCTATAGAAAATACACAAAAAAATCTTATTTCGAGCTTTAATGAGTTCAGTTAAAATGAAGCACCTAAAGCTTCAATAGTTGAATATTGAAAATAGAAAAAAAAAAAAATGTAATTTCGCATAGTTTGATAAGGCTTAAACTCAGCTTGTTAATAACCTCGTGCTCGTTTATCAGCTTGTTTTGTTAATAGATCGATTCAATAAAAGCTCGAGTTCAAGTATCAAAAGCTTTAATTGAGTTAAAGTTTGATTTTAGCTCAACTCATTAAGTGTCAAAATAATAATATTTATGTAATTTTCTATAGCTTGATAAAGGTAAAGCTCAGCTCGTTAGTATAGATGCTTATTCCCTAATCATTTACCATTGTGTTCGAACTTTTTTAACTATTCTCTTTATTTTCCGGCAACCACAACCGATGGAGGACCGCCTCCTCTCCGCCGTCATCCCCACGCTTGATCAAAACCGTAATCTCTCTCCCAAATCCACCGCCGCTGTCATCTCTCTCGTTACCAATCCTTTCACTTCCGAACGAACCCTCACTTCCCTTATAGAAACCCTATCTTCCCACCTCCAAAACCCCGATTCCAACCACCGGCAACTTCTCTCCCTCCTATCCGCCCTCTCCCGCCACCAACCCCGTTCCCGCCACCGCATTGCCGCCGCTGCCCACTCGTTCATCGTGCTGCCCTCCACCCCCACCCCTTCCATACCACCCGCACTCTTCCTCGTCGACCCGGCCTGTTCTCCCCAGCCCGACCCGTTTGCCGACGAGTCCCTTTTTCTTTCCCTGTGCTTCTGGCCGTGCGTGAAGATACGAGGATGGATGCTGAGAAACGCGAGCAAATTCTCGGTGAGGCCGTCGGCTTTGCTTACGGTGCTCCTGGGGCTGACTAAAGATCCGTATCCGAATATCAGGGGACTCGCATTGGATGGCTTAACGGTGTTGAGTGGTGGTGTTGTCGTGGAGGATCGGCATTTTGTAGAAGGTTGCTACTTTCGGGCTGTGGAGCTTCTGTTCGATTTGGATAATTACGTACGGCATTCGGCTGTTTGTGCGGTATGGTTTTGGTAGCGTCGCTTGTGGATTATTCTTATTGGATTTTCCCTTTAATATCGACCGATTTAGTGTAGTGTTGTTGTAATGTGGCTGATAATTTTGCACGCTTTTGGTTACAGGTCAGTGAGTGGGGGCAATTGCTCGTGAGATTGTGTTCGGATGAAACTAAAATGGATAGGTCTGATGCATTGTTTCTGCAGGTTCATCGTCTGTCATGCTTTGTGTAAACAAAACATAATGTGCTAGACAGTAGACACACAAAGTTCTGTTTAACTTTAACTTTTTTTACATTTCTTATCATGATAATCATTCTGATTTATGTGGAACTTCATGATAATAGTTCCAAATAACTTCGTGCTATATATTGGTGAAGAACATTCTGCTCATACGATTTGGGTGCATTTTGGGTTTTTAGCTACTGTGCTTGATGAGTTTTCCTTTCCTGAATGTTGAACATATTCCTACAGCTTTGTTTAATGGTTAGAGACATTGATTCGGAGATAAGGGTTGCTGCTTTTAATGCACTTGGAAAGGTACAAACTGTTTCTGAAGATATCCTGCTTCAAACCTTATCCAAGAAGCCTCTGTTAGCAACGAAAGAAAAGAACTACACAGGCCAGTACACTGCCAAGATATTTAAAATACCGGTAACTGCTGCTGCATATATATTCATTCATGGATTGGAGGATGAATTTTATCAGGTATATATGCTTCTTTGTGTAGTATATGCATGTGAGTTTGTATTGGGTGTATTCTGAGAGTTTTTGGTGGCTGTTTTCCAATTGTTATCTTCTTTTTCGTTGATTAAGGTCAGAAGATCAGCCTGTCATGCTCTGCAAGTGCCAGTAGTTCTTTCTGCCAAATTTGCAGCTGGGGCTGTTCATATATTGATGGATATGCTGATAGATGATTCGGATTTTGTTCGCCTTCAAGCTTTGGAGACGCTGCATCACATGGCGATTCATGACCACCTCAAAGTTGAAGAATCTCACTTACACATGGTAATTCCAAATCATTCTTATGTTAACATTGCAGTTATCGGTTTGAAGAAATAAATAACTTTCGTCTAGTTCTGTTATATTTTCTATTTACGATTAGAATATTAAGTTGATATCTGATGCATGAATATGGTTTAGAGGCATTTGAATATCTTACTTCCATTGCAGTTCTTAGGTGCTTTAGTTGATAGGAACACATTGATAAGGTCTGCTGCAAGGAAGACTCTCCAGTTAAGCAACTTACAGAAATTGGCGATGTTTAGATCATGTACTGATAGCCTTATAAAGAATTTGGAACTCTATCCACAGGTTTGTTTTTATTCGAAAATTCTTTTTTCTCTTGACAGAGTGTGTGTGCAGATGTTACCATTATCAAGAGAATCTTCTGCAGTTCTTATTGTTTTTTATTTTCTCAAATGGTTGTTATGGTTTTATGACTAGTTGTTTTTTGTTCGATCAATAGCTATAAATGCCTCAGTTTCTAGAGTCCATTTTCATACTCTTGCGTGAAACTATGCATGGAATATGTTGTAGAATTAGTGTGTATATTTGTTTTTTAATGGCTATTCTAATGTTAGTTTTTTTTTCCTCAACTATTGCAGGATGAGGCAGATATATTTCGTATCTTGTTTGAAATCGGTCACTCGCATGGAAAATTTGTGACCAGGTTCATACGTGAAGTTTCTCAGGAGGTTAGTAAGTGTTCAGTTATGTCCAAAAAATCTTTACCTTAGATAACATGATGCTACATGATAGGGAACAAATTACTTTTTATGAGCATAACAATTGGCCACAGTAATTCCAATTTCAGAAGAGAATATTAGTTACAAATTTTTAACATGTCTGCAAGAATTTTTATACCGATTTTTTTTTTTTTTTCCCCAAAATTGAGGTTGTGCCTTTTGCAATGTTTAGATAGAAATCCTGTGAAAATAGTTTTAACTAGTTGACTTATTTCTGCCTAAATTTTTACCCAGTTGGAGCCTTCTTTTGAAGGAAAGCTAGTTTTTCACAACCTGAGGACAGCTGCATTACTAGCGCTAGCTATCTCGGCACCCATATCCCTCGAGCGACAGGTGTGCAGTATTCCTCCACAGTTATTTTCTTATGCGGTCACCCTATTGGGCAGGCTATCCCGTGCCCTTGTTGGTGTAATGGACCAGAACGCCCTTTTATCTTATCTGACTTACTGCAGCAAATTCACTGTTGCCTCTACTTCTGAAAATTCTGGAGATGAAAAAGCACCGAATCTTAATCTGGAGGATAGTTTGATTAGCTTTCCGAAAAAAAGTGGCAAAAAGATCCCTTCTTTATTTCCAAAGTCACTGGAACTGATTTCGAATTTCAAAACATCAATCTACGTGGAAATTGTTCTAAAGAAGGTTGGTGACTTGTGGCCCCTGATACGTCTCGGCTGCACGAATGAAGTGGTTCAAATATTAAGGTAAAACTAAAAGTGGTTAAGTTCAAATAGTTATCAGTTCTAATAGTTTCGAAAAAAAAAAGATCTTGTTGACACTTGATGAATTCATAAAAATGTGTGGCTTTCCTATATTCGTATGTGCAGGAATTTGAAAAAAGAGCTGAGGGTTTTTGTTTCTCCCGGCGTGTCGAGCAAACCCAATGGCATCTTGGTATTTGCTTTGAGATATTTGCACATCGTAAAATTGCTTGGAAAGGCTTGGACGGGTTTCTTTTCTCAAAGAAATCCTCGATTCAAGGGGATGGGATTAATTCTTACGCCCCTCTTGCACAAAATGGAAAGACTACTCAAGGAAATGCTATATAGATTCCATGGTCTGAGCCGAGAGGGAAAATTGCATATTTTTGAGCTAATGCTTTTGACTTATGTAGTAAAGTTCTCTCATGGAGGGACATTTTGCTTTGAGGGCTACATGAAAAAGTTGAATTTTGTGTTTTCTCGGGTTGAGGATCTTCTCAAAGAAGGCCCGATCGAACTCTCTAGTTTTCTTGCTGAGCTTCGTAAAATATCAAACGAGATTGGAAAATCGGAAGATGGGCCCATGTCTCTTAACGAGTTAGACCTGTTCCAAAAGTCTCTTCACCTTTTCTCCTTGAAATGTGTTATTATACCCGAAGAACTTGAACACTATGAGGCAGAAGTTGAAGTACATGGCAATAATAGTTTCGAAAATCCTTTCCCTTTCATTACAGGTCTACCTGTCGGTTTGCCCCTCGACATCACGTTGTATAACATTTCTAGTGAAAAAAGATTGTGGGTTGTGATTTCTCTCGGTGAAAGATCATCTCAGTTTGTTTTCTTGGATTTAGACGAGTTTGGAGGTTTGGATGCAACAAAAGAGAGATTTTCATTTATTGCTCCTTTTTATAGAACTCTTAAAGTAAAACACTTGGTGTTGCGGGTTTCTATTGCTATGGAATGCTTTTCCGAAGATCAGCCCCCATCGATAAAGCGGTGTAATGGCCCGGAGCACGAGCTCGTGTACCTCTGCAAAGAGAAAGAAGTTCATCTATCCATGGGTGCCGAATAATGTACCGGCTCATAACAATTTTTGCGGCATTTCGATTGAAGGATGATGATGTATATTTATATTTGTCAATATACATGTATGTATACAGATTACATAATACATGTTTGTAGAGTGTAAAATGCCTTAGCTGATTTGATAGCTTCTTTTTGGAAAGAATATTAGTGTAACAATTATAGTGTAAATATTATGTGTTCATGAATATTTTATACAAATGTAACAGTTATACTGTAAGTATTTAAAATTCTTCACAAATTTAAAAATGTATAATAAAAAATTTTAAGAAGTCTGCGATAAAAATCTTATGAAATTCTCAAAATGTCTACCGAAGTCATTAAAGCACAACCCATATAAATTCAAATTCCTCATCATCAACATTAGCCACCACATTCACTTTTCTTCTACAAAAGAAGATGATGACGACGCTGTGTGCTTCTCTGCATCCTCCATGGAAATACTGCAGTTTACACATTGAAATTGTCAGTCCCGACGTTTGGCGTTTAATTTTTATTTTTTAAGATTCACGTCAGGATTTCACAATACCTCCCGTACAAGCACTGGGCCACCCCTGCGAATAGTTCCAGGCCGTATCCCTGGGCTCGTACCAGGCCGAACATGTCGCAGTACTTAAAATATTCGGTATAATATTCATCCGCCACGACTTCTTCAATATGCGGCATACAGCCCTCCCTGAAATTAACCAAACGGTAGAATAGATAACTTCTTCACATTTGGAATGGAACACTTCTTTTAGAAAAAAAAAATATTGCCTTTATTGAAGCTTAATATGAATTCGTGTACCTTGCTCGAAAAATCTGTCTCAGCCTTGACAACTCGCGCACGTAAGTTACTTGGTTATAGACTGCAGCCAACATTTTCTCCTGTTTCCGAGCTTCTTTTAGATATTTTCGGGCTGTGGCTTCCTTTTGATAAGGATCATACCGCGAACTGTACAAGTTCATGAATAACATGGAAATGCAGAATTCAATCATTCATTAGTAGTGCAGACTAAAAAAAAAAAACAATAGAAGAAACACGAAAAAATGAAACACAAACTTTATTCATGGAAAAAGTGTTGTTAAATTAAACGAGCTCGAGCTCATGTAAAGCTGGTTCGAGCTTGACTCGAATAGAGAATTTTTATATAATTTTCTATAGTTCGGCTCGTTAATAATCATAAGCGAGCTCGATTTTTGGCTCGTCTACTTAACGAGCTCGTTAAGGGCTCAAGCTCAGCTCGGCTCAGCTCGTTTACAACCCAAGTTTGGAGAACACAGAGGTCCCAACAAATGTATACTAGTTTCTAATGTTGCAACAAAAGTATGAACTATAGTGATAATTCATCGAACCTCGTGGAAGACTACCTTTCATATTGCCTTCCAATTAGTGCAGGAACATACAATGCAGGGGAATGCCACCATTCTTCACCATATTCCCCGATTAACTCCTCCTAATCGTGTATTAAGCAAAAAAGATCATTCAAGATGTCTTCATCTTGTGAATTAAATGTACGTATAATCAAAAAGTTTCATGTTTTGAAGAGTCGAAAGCATTGGATGCTGCTAAAGGAAAATAAGTTAGAAATCTTAACTAACCTCTTTCGCAGAACTTGATCTGAGACGCCTGCGTAAACAATCCAAAAGGTAAAGAATTTGTCTGATCCTCTCCGGACCAAAGAATCAAAAATCGGTTTCTAAGAGGAAAAAATATACCGAATTGTTTGTCTGATCCCGTCTGGACTATCGCTCGGAGATACCAATAGAGATATGTTGTCTACATTAACACTTTTCATATCCTGAGAAGTTCCTGAATCTTATACAAAGTCATTTAGGGCAACATTATGTAAAAAGCAACTAGCATGCAAGAACTAACTAATAAATGACGAGTTAAGTTAAGCCTTGCTTGCTTCCCTCTCTTCTTCAAACAAAATGGGGAAATCTTGAAACTGATTCAAAGATGGGCTCGACTCTAAGAATAAATGAAATAAATTAACCAACCCTGCGAGCGACAATCTGCCTCTAGAGAGGATGAAGATGCTGCCGGACAACCAGGAGAGCTTTCAAGAGAGAGATCACGCAAACGTGAAACTAATCCCTGGGGCACATGTGTGTCCATCTCCAAAATCCTCTTGACATAATTATCCCAGTTCACAATGGCATTGGCTATTCTGGTGTTATGTAGCATATGTGAACATAAAAATAAAAAAAAAAAAAGCCCGAGAATGAGTAGGAAAAAAAGTACCACACAAAAGCTTTTCTGCAACTAATGTCAATTCACAAACCTCCTGTTCAAGGACACGATCATTTCTTCACAAGATTCCATGGAACGTTTCCGGCCACTTACAGCGCTCATTATCCTACGATGCTGACAAGATGTACTTTCAAATTCCTCCACCCAAGCTGCCTCAAAATAAGGATCACGAACGAACCTGGGATATGGAATAAGACATAAAAGTTAAAGAAAAGATACGATTCGGTCAAGAAAAGGAAAGAAAAGAAAAAAAGTGCTATGCAAAAATTCGCATACTTCTCAGACTTAGACAACTCTTGCAGTCTTTGCATGTAAATTTTCCAGGTATTGGCAGAAGCCACCATTCTGTCATGTATCCATGCTTCTTTTAAATACTTACATACCCAAGCTTCTATCTCACAGTAATAATGATGTGGCCTGAATTACAAGTTATTGGGTTAAAAATAAATAAACAAAAAGGAAACTTTGCATCCTACAAAGGCAATCAACCAACCGAAATTCGATAAACCACAAATGCCGAAATCAGAGTTACCTTTTACATTGCATTCCACAGCGTAGAGGAAGAGGATAGGGTCCAGCATACCGCCAACCTGTACCGAATTCCTTGATCAAATCCTCCTAATCATGGATTAAGAAACAGATTAATACACACAAGCTCTCTATATCTTGTCCAAAACTTTATCAGATAGATAAACGTTCGAATCAACCTCTTCTGCAGTCATTTTTGGTCGGAGACGCCTGAATAAACAATCGAAAGTTACAAGACACAGAAAAGAAAAAATAAAAAAAATCCATATGCTTCAGAAAGTACGAATTTTAAGGTTCTTTACCTAAGTGGTAGCTTCATTCTATATACGGCAGCTCTGTTCCGGTGTATTGCTGGCATGCTGCCCACACCTCTTTCCATATTTATGTACCTCAACATATTTTCAAAAATGAGTTCACAAAAAAAAAAGTTACTAGAACACAGTGACTAATGTATAGCAAAGTTAAAAGCAGCCTTGAATTCACTTTCGTCACACAAAATCGGTTATCTTGCTCGAATAAGGATACACTTAATAGTTCTAGAAAAAAAAATAAAAAAAGTTGATTAATTTTTCAGTATAAACTCCTATCCATCAGTGGCTGATAATATTTCATTCTAAACTGCACAATGCTAACACAAACAGAAAACTAAGACCTTCTTAACTAATGTACATATTCTTTGACAACAGTAAAGAATAGGTACAGAGGACAAACAATAAACATAAAACATCATATGATAAGAAGAACAAAACGAGATAAAACGTACAGACAGAGTCGTGAGAAAAATGGATCGATGAAACTGAGAGAGAACGGTGTTTCTTCTCACAAATTTGGTTAGATTTTCACCAAGAATCTTTTTTTCTTTTAGAAATCTCCTAAAATCTTCCTTAACTTGAATAACAAGCAACTTTTAGAGACTTGTGGAAAGTTTGAATTGAATACACAGTGGGCACATTTTAATATGTCAACCGCCAGAGTCGGTCCTGAATTTTATAAGGCTCTGGAGTCTGGACAAATTATTCTAAATGTTGCCCTTGACTGTTTTTTTTTTTAATAATAAAAAAACAAAATGTAACTCGTAATAATAAAAACAGAGAAAATTAAAATAAAGATATAGCTAAATTTTATAAATAATATTTGATAAATTTCTTAAGAATCGTAAATAAATAAAAAGAGAAAATCCTTTTTATTCAAAGAAGAAAAAAGCAGTCAAAGCTCCAAACTTTTATTTACTTTAAATATATGACAAAAAGTTTAGTGAAATGCAATAATGCTCAGTTATATATATTTTTTATTGAAAAGTATTAATTTTTAACTTTTTATTTAACAAAAGTTAAATAAAAAATCAAAATTGAACTCGTCGGACAATGGTTGAATTCACTTTACTCTTTTATTGGCTATCACTAATATAATAGAATTGTCCAATCATAAAATAATATTTTATATATTCAAGCAAGAAGAAAAAATTAGCAACGTATTGAAAGAATAAATAAAAATATGCAAAACAAATTAATTTCACTAATAATAACTACTATTTAATTTTATTGAGATCAATTTTATAATCATATTATATAATTAATATATATATATATGCATATATTAAAAAATATATAAAAATGGGCCCCGGGGTAAGAGGGGGCCCTGGGCGGTTGCCCGGCCCGCCCTACCCCAGGGCCGGCCCTGTCCATCGCTTATGTGGCATGCACACATTGGTGATGTATTTTTTTGAACATATTAACATCAACAATGTGTGCATGTCACATAAGCGGTGGACATTTTACATATGTGGCATATAAAAGGACTTAAGTCCTGAATGACATAGACAAACCCAAGTAAAGAAAATTCAAAAGTCATTCAGTGCAAAAACAAAATACTAGGTCTAGAATATTTGTCAACCAATAAAAATGATCTAAATTATTTTCTATATTAAGAGAAAAATTAAATTAGGAATAAATGTTGATTGCTTAGGTTTGTACTTGGGTCCAAAATAGACCAAAGTATAGACTTGGTCTCATTTTTTGATTGTCACATAAGTTAGACCTAGTCTACTTTTAATTACATTGGAAAACATTTTTTAATAGACTAAATCTATTTTCAACATGGCATATGATATTTTTATACGAGACCCAAAGCATTGTAGGTGCTCTAAGAGTTCTAATTGAATACACTACAATAAATAAATTCCTAGACTCCATTAAGGGTGTGATTGGAAAGATGGAGAAGAATTGGGGGAAATTTTCGTCGCGAATCGTGTAAAATGCCTTGCTGTATAATTTAAGACGTAAACTTTTAAATATGTTTGATGTATAATTTAAGACGTAAACTTTTAAATATGTTTGATAAACTCGAATTTTGTTATTTCGAACTCGAAAATAAAAAAATAACTTTTTTATATGTTTTAGATTTTTTTTTAAAATATTATGTAAATATATAAAAAAATAAAAAAAAATCAATTAATGTTCCCAAACATTCGCGAACGACTCGTGTTCGTTTATTTATTAAACGACTCTAATTTTATGTTCGAACAAAAGAAGGAGCTTTTGTTAGCCAATGTTTGATTCATCAACAGTTTGGCAGGTTTAAAAAAAAAAAAGTGAAACACTTCCAAAAGTGCTAAGACTTCGTTAGAACTAAAAAACACACATCAACACCAAGAATCAACCAAAGAAAAGCTATAGGACCCAATGGATATATAAATAAAAGCCAATTCAATCAAATTATTAATGCAGCAAAATGTCATAAAAAATACAACAGAAATTTCAAACCTACAAATCAAAACCAATCATCGGGTTCGTGAATTATCAACAGAAAACCTTACGATAGCACGCATATATAACAAAACCCTCTTCTTACTCCAAACAGCAAAATATGCAGTAAAAGACACGGCATTTACAGGTTATGACAGTTTGTTTCTGCACATTTCAAAAGCAAACCCAGCAAAAAGACAGCAGGTAAAAGCTCTATCTTTGGTTTCGTTCGACAAAATTATCACGTCCCAAACAAGGGAAAATCGGGTTTTCATCCTCATCCTTTTTTTTTTCCGAAACGATATGACATCCTCATCACTTACAAAAAAATGTACAATACATAACTTCTCCCCTAATCATCTCCTAAAACAACAGCAGATGTGTAGCATATATTCCCTACCGACTTCAAGTTCGATTCCCGCCAACCTTGACCTTCCTTGTAACACTCAATCTGCATATTTTACATTCAATAAAAAATACCAGTGAGAAAAATATGCCTCGTGTTTTTTAAGTACCATAAGAATAAAAGAAGTGCAAATACCGTGTCAATTATGGATGGACCAACTTTAAGCCCTCCAATAACATATATGGAGTCTTTAAGAACTGCAGCAGCTAAAAATGCTCTGCCTTGGTTCAGAGATTCCCCAGCTGTCCATGTCCCCATTCGAACATCGTATATCTCGACACTTGGCACCATTGTTTCCCCATCATGACCACCAATCGCATATCTGAATAAAATCGTAAACATTGACAAAAGTTACTCTTATTTTTTACGCTAGCATTATAACATAACATTTATATGGTAAAGCATTAATTTTCAACATTCGGGTAAAATGGACTTGTCAGAATAGCGAAAAGGAGAAACAGAGATAGTTTATATGAAATAACAACTTACAGTTTTTCATTCAGCACCACCAATGAGTGGCCGCCTCTTTTCATATTCATGCTGCTGATTCTCGTCCAAGAAGGCTCCCTAGGATCAAATCTTTCTGCAGATCTGAAAAGGAAAAAGGGAATCTCAGTGAAGCTACTTAAACAAAAGGTCCATTAATGAATGTTGCTATGTTGATGAGCTGATACAAACTAAAGGAAACCCATCTCTCTCTAATGGTTACTGCAGATATAGTGAATATAACCACAAAGAAGACCAGGCAATCAAAATGCATTGTGCCACGTCACTAAACTTGTACATAAAAGAAAAAGACAGAGAGAGATAGAGAGTTGAAATCCATGAGCGCCTATAAAATTGAAAATTCATTTGCAAAACAGCTTTTCACAACTTACTTCAAATAGTCAGTTCCATCAAATCCACCTACAGCATAGACTGCACCATGACATTCCACAGCGGCTACAGCAAATCTCTGCGGGCAAAACAAAGCTTTTATATTATGTTCTCAAAAAAATAACTTAGATTAGTAAATAGTCCGAGTCCCAAAAAAAGAACAGTGAAACAAGATCAGAGGCAACTGAAAAGTTAAAGCAACAATTCATCTACCTATGCAAAGGGTTTCTACTACAACAAACATTAAGCCATAATATAAACATATACTATACGCTACCTTTTCCAACATTGGCCGAGCCAAAACCCATCGCCCGGCATTTGGGTCAAACATTTCAACTTCCGACAAACACTCTATTTCACTTCCACCACCAACTGAATAAAACTTGTCATCCAGAGCAGCAACAGCTAAGCATTTCTTTTTTGTAGTTAGCGATGGACGTGTAGTCCATTGATCGTCCACAACGTTGTATGATTCAACTACACACTCACAAAAATTGGGGTTCGAATCAATAATTTGTAGTCATTCTTTAAATGAAATGAATTACTTCTGTTTTCTCTAGAAAGGCATTGTAATGTTTTGTAACACACACACACTCATAAAAAATGAAGAAGGAAATAAGTATTACCAGTATCGTACCACAACGAATCTGTCCCCCCACCAAAAACATAAAGCTCTCCATGTAACCGAGCAACTGAGGCATTTCCTCGAACCGCGGACATTGGCTTATGAAACTTCAAAACATCACATGTAGGTGAGACTGAATTCAGAGCTGCTGACCATGATACACCATCATGTCCTCCCAATAGGAATATTGACTCATATAAAGTCGACTTTATAGCATTGGGTCCAACAAGAGCTTCATTGCTAGAAATGGTTGCAGAGGGATTGGATACAGATTCCAATATCATACATCTATTCTCCAGTTGATCAATCTTTTGTTGTGCCTCAACCTGATATGTAATTACACATCATTTTCTCAAAATTCACGGAAAAATACAGCCAGCCAATCTATTCAACCAACAACCAGGTGTAGGTAGAAGTATAATGAGACAAATAAGATGAATGAAGAGGATTATCAAAAATCAACTGTTATAAGAGGTTCTACTGAAACTTCAATCTATGCAACTAGCAAATTCATGAAGGCTGGTCCATCAAACAGAAAGAGTTACCAGCTTTTTTTTCCAACTTTTGATCTCCAAAGCTTGCTGTTGCTTGAAAGACTTCAGCTCTTCTATTTCCCCCCATAGCTGTATTCAAGACATACGGTTAGCTCTTCCATTAATCTTACAAGTCGGCAAGACTATGCAGCGCAAGTGAAGTCAAACTTTCAAGACTTAAATGAAGTTTCAGTAATTGCTCTTCAAAAGAACAAGTAGCTCAAGCTCATTTAAGTCAACACTCATATGTTTCAGTCCCTCATTTTCAACCAAGCTCAAGGTGAAGCTCAATAACATGACTTAAATGCACAGCTGAACAGTACAACAGGAATAAATAAATTCTTCCGAATGCATGGGTGCCTTAACAAGTACCTGTGAGATGATGACTGGATAATCTAGAGAACTAAAAGTACTTTCACCCTTCCACTTTCCCATATTTGCAACAGCATCATCATGATTTTCATGCTCCAGGTCAGTATTCTCCATGCATGCACCTTCTACAACATCTCCCATCATAATAGCATCTGAAAGCTCACCACTCAAAGCTAGCTCTTTTAATTTTATGTACAAAAGGTCCTTTTCATCATAATGCTGTATCGTTTCATAATTTTGATCACAAGGAGATGGCTCTTTCAATTGGTTATTCATCTCATTCAAAATCTGAGAATCATCTGAAGTGGCAAATGCTCCATGTGAGTTTGCACTATCTTCTTTTGGAAGTGATGATGGCTCACAAGCTCCACTTTCCTCTCTTTTGTTTTTTGAGGGAGAAGACTTTACTACAGGCGTCCATTTTTGGGCCTTTTTAGGTGTTAGGGCCTGACTCGGGCTAACAGCAGAAGGAGACATTTTGGACAGCAACTTGGTTGTTTGTGCATGATCCAGCTCAAACCTAAAATGAACTTGATTGTAATAGTTATTAGCTATTATTGGCTTGAATTGATGCTCAGGAAGGGCTTCACATTTCGTTCGCACGCGGACCTGAACCTTAACGGCCGAAAAACGAAAATAAAGATAAAAACCACAATAAAACATTAAAATAAGAGAGAATTGGTAAGAACATTATAAAGCACTACATCCCTGTTGATACCTGAGCTGGAAACTTTGTTTTGTCCGAACCACCTGCCGTCCAAGCATATTGATTGATATTCAATTGGCCCGAGCTAACGGCTTCATAGATACCGTGAAGTTTTCTATCACTGTAGTTGAACAAAAAAAGAGGCAAACCTGGCTCGATGTTTTGAACGTATTTAAAGTGCTTAGCTGGAAGGCCTGTCAAAACCATACAAGCATGATAATAGCTTCAAGCAGAAAAATGCTCGAACATCAAACTGATGGTGTGAAAATTTACAAGGAACAAAAAACTATTAATATTGCTAACCAAAGAGTTGACTGGTGAGGCATTCTTCCATTGTGTCATTAGTGCAACCAAAAATGACACCCCCTAGTTGACTTTTCTCCAAGAATCTGGCCCACTTCGAGTTAGCCGCCATCCTCAGAAAAGTTCAAATCAGAAAACTGATTGTCGAATGTTTCCTTTTTCTAAGCTCCCGGCCTATAAAGGCTAGCAGATGAAAGCTTGAAGTTAACTCATTTTGATACTGCAAACAGATGAAAGCTTGAAGTTAACTCATTTTGATACTGCAACAGATAATTCAGAAAAGTCTGCAACACATATATCATGAATGTAACTGCAAAATCCATATGCGGTTAGTAAGAAATTTACGAGACACGGAAATGTAATGTCTGAAATCCAAGAAAGTGTAAGTTCTGAACTGAAGGGGAAAACGGAGTACGGTACATCAATAAAACAAATACTCTGAAGAGAAGGTTAAAATCAAATTGCCTATAACCAGTTGCAAATACTTCTCTTGTTCAACATAGATAGATATACATTATTATGACCCAATTCGTAATAAAATCAGATTAGAACCAAAATTAGAGGAAAGAAAAAAAAAAACAAAAGGAGTAGAACCATAACAGACATTGACTGGATATTTGTGCATATTGATCTGACTACCCATCTGGCATCATATTGAGAACAATAATACAGTAATTGACACAACCTAAATTTAGACATCAGACAAAACAGAAAACAGCTCAGTCAATACAATCTCAATGTCCATTTATCACCTTGCATCCAAGTAGTACTAAGTCACAAAGACTAGATTTAGACATCCTAAGAAAACAAAATCAATTAGTCATTACCAATAAACTAAGCAAATTCTGCGCCATTAACAAGAAACTCAAGCCACAATCACATTCCACAAGCTCAATCAAGTATACACACATAAAAAAAAACCAAAAAAAAAAGACACAAAAATACATACAAACAAATCGGGTAAAACTATATGAGGATATTCAAAGACTATTCACCAGCTCAATGAACTGTAAAGTGTAAGCACAGATTCTCGATGCAGTTACACCTTAATCAGCTCTCAAAATCAGCTTGAAACTCGGAATATTGTATTCAAAAAAAAAAAAAAAAAAAAAA